GGAAATTTCTTACCCTGTGTTGCGTTCCACCTTATTTGCTTTAGCGACCGGCGATGAGCAATAAGGACACCCCATTGGTTGGTAAATAACCTCACGTCTGAGCCATCAAATATCGATGGTGGATATCGATTTCCTGCAAGCGTGACTCATCCACCTGTTCAGGTGGTACTTTACGGAGGTAGGATTTTGTGAGAGGCTTATTCAAAAATAAAGTTAGAAACTTGCCTTTTAAATGCACTCAAAATTAATGTTTAATTTTCTATAAAAATCCATTTTCTACCACATCTGACTATTGAAAGAGTCTCAGGTCATATATTAAGGGAAAAAGAGGGAAAATCTGATATTTTTGTTTAGAATAAAGGCACATGGAGAAAGATCTCTACTTGCATCATTAAATATCTCCTACTATTGTCGAAGCAGTGCATTTTCAATTTTCCCCATGGCACTACATCTGCCCTTTTTTAAATAAAAATAATTTAGCAGCAAACATGGTCACCCATCAACCTAATCAATAAGTGCCCTTATCGACTTTTCCAAAAATTCAAAACTGTGCAATTGAAAATGCAATTTCTTGACGATTTTCAGGAGTATTTGGGTTTGTATTGAAGTATTGGACCATTCATGAATTAGCCTCTACCTTTGCTATAACAAAGATAGACGTAGAAACAAATGCCGAGGCCTCTGAGGACGAGATCAAGGAGTGGGAGGAGAAGAATCAAGTCAAAGCGCCTAAAGACTTGAAAAATTTTTACCTCTCCTCAAATGGACTGCATGTTAAGTGGAATGGGAAATATGGCGGTTAGTTGCGCGGAAATGGCTTTGAGAAAACTTTTATTTAAGAGTAATTTATCCCTATTTTACAACATTTTCCCAAGCAAATATTATTTAATTGTTTTTAAATGATTGCAGCCATAAAAAAAAACTTTTTAAGGATCTTTATGAAAAATAAAATTTGACATGTACACTTTCATTAAAAAGGTTAATTTGATTAAGTTTTACTTAGGGTCATTAAAGGTGAAACATTTAAACTAAGTAAGGTCAATTAAGGGGGGCGGTCTTCAGACCGCCCAAAGAACATGTCAAAGTCTAGTATGGGGCAAGCGGAGGGTTAAAAATGAATGAAAAGGCAGAAGAATAAATGTATGAAAAGTGGGTGGATGACTGTCTGGTTGGGTGAGAAATAGGTACGGAATGGACAACAGATGGGTTCAAGATGGATGGATAGATGGAATGATGATTGAGTACCAGATGGAAGTATGAATGGATACGGGGTGGATTCACACAAAAATTGTAACGGGATGGATGGGTAGCGGAACAAATGGATAAAAGATTGCTACGTGTATGTATTGGTGGCTGGACGGATTGGGTGAATTGATGGATACGCAATGACCTAACACGGGACGGATACCTGAATAGATGGATATGGGATTGATGGTTGGATGGACTGACATTTAGATGGATGGGTGGTGGAATGGATACCAAGAATATGCCTGTTTGAGGGATGCTTTAGTGAATGACTAAGAAATTGATCCTGGAAAGACGCGGAATGGATGCAAGTTGGATGGATGGGTGGATGAATACCAAATTGGATGAATAGAAGGTGGAGGTATGGCTGGATGCATGGATGGGTAGATGGATGGATGTATACTGGATTGAAGGATGTGCAGCTCTCGAATAGATGGATGGATGGGTGGATGGACCTAGGAGTGGATACAGGATGGATATGGCATAAATGGATACAGGATTGAAGTACAGATAAACCCATCGATCTAAGATTATTGTATTTTTTTCTGCTTCATTCATTTCTCCGATTTCCTTTGTTCGGGTTTTATGCATTCAGTCACTATATGTGCTAGTCCATCTACCCATTCTATCTCTCCATCTCGGATCCGTCTATCCCTCCCTCCCTGTTCTGCTCGAGCAATCGGTGACCATCCCCTTACCCTTTCACTCTTGATTATTTATTCATTGTTTTGCATCTTTGAACCATTCTTCTTAGGCCTATCTTTCTAGTCCTGGTCCATCTATTCACATCGGGTTGGCTCATCGTCCATATAATAACAAAACTGTTTCCACCCTCCTTACTCCACTCATCCCCCCTCCCAGGGCACAATATCTACAACAAACCTTCCCTTACTCCCTACCAGATCTCAGTTATTGAATACCTTCAACAAACTCTACTTTGTAACTAATTTTCCGTTCTACTTTTTTAATCCGCAGTTTTAAAGGTGTTTGGTGGAGTGAGCATCTGTGCGTTGAACACCTTGGTCAAGTTCCAACCCTGCTGTGAACCCACTGCCTTGGACAATCCACTAACTTGTTTCACCAACGATTTCAAGCACTTTCACAAATCCAACGACTTCTTCATTCTCAGTCGATGCACCAATCACTCCTATGTCCTTCTCTCACCCTCGTTGGGAATTTATCTTTTGAATAGATCCATGGAATTAGGATATATATGTGAGGGATTTATGGAGTACATTCGTCTAGCCATGCTGCATTACATGCTTGATGGATGGGAGTGCTTTCTTCTGGGCAATGTGGATGCTATCCCCTACGAACACGTAAGTACCCTTTCATTCAGATCTTTTAATACACCCTCCTGTAGATGCTTTGTCTGAAAGGACTGCCACATTTTATTAGGCTCTATGACTGTGAAAAAGACCCAATTTTAGATGAAGATGAAAGCTAGAGACTTCTGCTGTCTTTCGCCTGTTTGAGTTCCTTGTTGCTCTGTATGACAGCGTTTAAATCTCTCTTTTATTCTCCAACCGTCTGTCCTGCTTGGCCAAGCAAAGGTAGTAAGGTGTTTGGAGGGATGGCAGAGGCTGAAAAAAGTCTTTAAAACTTAATCTTCTTTTGTCTACCTTCAAGTTATGCCGTATCATTGGTTGACGTCTAATAAGAACTTCATTGTAAATATTCCCATTGGCATTTTTTTGAAGTGCGAGTTTGTAGGGAGTGGATCGTTTAAAGGCGACCGCATTTATTCAGTCGGTCAGTCGCCATTGGGTACGTGAGAGAAGTGAAGGACAAATTGACAATCCTTGAAGCCACTCCACTATAACCCATAACACCTCTTCCATCACTAATGGCCACGTCAGAATCGTCCTTCCCTAACCTCCGTGCTGAACCTTCGCCCAGAATGACCCATCACCGGAGCCACGATACCTCTCCAGGTGGCTTTCCGAATCACGTCTATCAGTTTAGTTCATAATCTGTAGGTTTAAAAGTGCAAGGAATATTGTAGCGAGATTACCGACCTGATAAACAGGCACCTATCCGGCTGGGACCGCCTGTAACTTTTGCAAAACACTTTCATTATGGTTGCTAACATAATTCCCCTCTACATTTCTCATTCCCAGACATTCTAAGATATCATACACCGGCTGAGACTTTAAAGGGGCTGTAACTCGATTACAGGGAGGGATAGACCACAGGCTGAACGAGGCTGTCCATCCCGTGTCCTCGGCAGGCCCCACTAGCCAATTAGCTGTCTGCCACTGGGACCACATTGCCGTGCTTAATCACACCCATCTACTGATTCCGCTTATCAGACGCTCGACAGAGTCAAACCTCATGCGTAAAAAAGCGATTAATTGCAATAAATTTTCACTCTTTCTTTTTGTTTTAACAAGACGATTGGAAACTTACAAGATCATGATCCAGTCGAAACCAACTTCCCTGCATTAAAAAACACCTTTACCTCGTTTTATCGCATAAAACGGAAGTTTTTCAATCGCTAAACCATGTAACAGCAAGTGAATTGTCTTTCCGACAAAAAGAAGACTGCTGTACAGCTGAAGAGTTCTAAACTCAAAGTTAGGCCATTCGTAAACAATTAGCCTCTTACAGTAGGCTTGACATATCTGCAGATGAGAAGGACCTACAAATGGAGGAGAATTTCACATTTCCGAGGATAATCTTTTTCGAGGCGTTTGAGCTCTTGAAATGCCATCTAATAAAGTGAATTTATTGCCCTAAATAGATCAAAAGCATCGATTTTGAACCGGTGGACCAATAAAATCCCGCACTTCATTTCGCCCAATGGCAGCTTCAATTTTACCTTGAAGCCGCATTGGCAACCAATAAATAACGCAAATTATTTTCTAACCAATTGTTGCCTCAATTGCATCGTCAGTCTACTCGAAATGAGCCAATCAAATCCACCTCGCTAATTTTGCCAATAATAGCTTCGAGTTAAGCTCGATGTATAATCCTCATATGGTTAAATTAACCAATAAAATTGGAACTTCAATTCTCGACTTTTAATAGCCATCTAGAAAAGTTAAAAGAATACTCGCCTAAATTTTCCTCACAATGTTATGAGTATTTAGCATATACTACTTAGATTCTGCTAGATGTGTAAACACAAGATTTGTGGTTATGATTCCAACACTTTAAGACAAATCAATAAGACTGCCATCCTATTTTTCACCAACAATGGCCTCCGTTTTGCATGACGATGAGTAGGTACAGTCACAAATACATTTTCCACCTTCAGCAGATTCGTTTTTAATTTAAACCACCCATCTTGGTGGTCTAAACTGAATTTGTTCGACAGGAGCTCTAAATGCCCTTCAGCAATAAATTTTACCTCAAATTTTCAGAAAATACGTTAATGCTACTTAACTGCTGATTATCCCTATGCCGCCTATAAGGTTCCCTTTCAACGGTGGGACGTCATTCAGCTATTCTACCTGGCGCCGACGGACCAATGGTAGCTCTACTTATGTCAACTTGATGTAACCATTGGGCCAATGAAATTAGCCTTTCTATTTTCACCCAACGATGATGTTAGGTGCGGTTCGCCCCCCCCCCCCCTGTTTTAGGGTGACCTAGTGCGTTCACGGTACTGACTTTTTAACCTCTGATACAGTAGCTGCAAACTTACCGCAAAAGAGGGTAACTTGTTTCTCATTTTTAGCCCATAATTTAAGTAGCATAACTCGTGAGTTTATTTTGAGATTGAATTGCGGAAAATTTTCGCTGTAACACCTACATTTACCCATTATTTTCCTACACAATTGAGGACTAAGGGTAGCACCCCTTGATCCTCAGAGGTTGTTTCATCCCTCAGCGTCAATCGGAGATAGATCGCGTTCCTCGGCACGATGATCTCTTCCAGACTCTCCGCCTCCCTCTAGTCCCGTTGAGTCACAAGACAGAACCAAAAAAAGGTAACATCTCCCTTTCTGCGTGATCACGCACAGCCATGCATCTGACCACTACGAGTGGGGAATTGCACCCACGTCTTTGATTGGTGCATAGCCGCATCAGTGTCGGAAAAACCCACACTCCCACATACAGAAAGCCACATTATTGTTATAGGGGTGGAAGTTGGAAGGAAAGGAGTACATACACACACACACACATTTCATTCTGGTGGATGTCACGAAAGGTTATTATTGTCGGCGATGGTATGGTCGGTAAATCCGCCCTCCTTCAGGCATTTGTCCACGGTGTTTTTCACGAAACCTACATTCCCACCGTCTTTGAAACCACTGCTATGGATGTTGAAGTAGGCGGAGGTAGAAATGTCACTCTGGGACTTTGGGATACCGGTGGACAGGAGGAATTTGATCAAATCCGTCAACTAGCCTATCCTGGAGTACGAGTGATTCTTCTCTGCTACGCGGTGGATTCATTGACAAGTCTGTCCAATGTAGTGCATACCTGGAGTCCAGAAGTTCGTCGATTCTGTCCTCAAGTGCCAGTCCTCCTTGTCGGCTGTAAATCGGATTTACGAGGCCTCGAACGAAGTCGATTGCGACTGGTGGATCCGAAAGAGGCTGCCGAGGTTCAAAAACGGATTGAAGCGAGAATTCACATCGAGTGCTCTGCCAAGACCCTATCCAATGTCTATACGGTCTTCCAATTGGCTGCTGAATGCGCTCTAGAAGGGAAAGAAGGTCAGGTCTCTCGATCGTCACAACGTGGTGCACAGACATGTGAAATTGTTTAAGTGTATTTTGTACCAATTTCCCTTCATTTTATTGTTATGACTTTTCTCTAAAACGAAGCCCCCGAAACGGCCAAATCATGAGTGCCAATTCCATAGACGTTTCCGGGGCGAATGCTACACACACGCACCCGTCCAATTACTGAAATATTATTTGACATTTTCAAGGTCACAGTTCTGTCGGAGGGGGGAGTGTGGGTGTAATGTCTTCTTTTTTCCCCTTCTTTTTTCCATTTTATGTATCTGTGATTTGATTGGCTGATGCACTAGGTCATTCTAAGGTCATGGCAAGTTTTAATTTTTTAACTGTAACACTCCCAACTCTAATTGACGTTGTGACAAGGTATGACAGCATTAAAGAAAATTAGTGTCATCGTAAGGGACGTCTGGATGGATGCCTTTGGACATAACGGGAGGACAGTTCAGTCAGGACAAGGACGCTCAGGAGGTCGTGCATTTATGTCAATTGCAATTCTTTAAACTTCTTCCCTATGTAGGGCCCGATGCTCTCTGCTGTCACCTTGAACTCCTGGAGCATAGTGCTTAAGGCTAGGCAATGTTCTTCAACCAAAAGAGGGTCTGCGATTTCCCCGGACTATGAAACGCGTCACTGTGTTTGGCGATACATAAAAGGGATCCGTCGACCGCAGCTGATTAGATGGCAACCATTCAGCATAGACCTTACGAAATGGACAATAATAAAGCATTCCATTCAGAGAGCTCCTCAGCAATTTATAAAATAATTCGCATAAGCAAAATTCATTCCCATTTGTGAATCAATCCAGCCTTCATCCCGTATCCATGCCTCCTGATCCATGTGTCCTGCATCCATCCATCCATCCATCCATCCATCCATCCATCCATCCAT